TTGGGAATATTTTGCTGCATCATCTTTTAATAATGTTGATATTATTCTATTTCTGAAATTTCTGTTTTAATTTTTTCTTAACCTGCAGGAAATTCGAATGCTGATTTTTTCAAAGGTATAGAAAGATTGCTGCTTTATCTTTTGATGGTGTTGTAATTAGTATATACCATGGAATTATCATTTTAACTTATTTTTAATTTTAATTTACTAACTTGCAGGACCTGTCGGTAACTTCAGACAAGTATATATGGATGTTATGTTGCATTTATGCTTTTAACATTTCTAATTATAGAACTACTAGTGTTGGCAACTGCTGTATGTTTTGTTATGGCGCAGTTTTCTTGTATGTTATTTTGGGAATTTTCTATACGTTCTACCGTTTAGGATCTATTTATTTGTGTTGTAATAATGGATGAGTTTATTTCTCTCCAATATAATAGTTTATTTGTGGGAAAAAATGATTTCATATTAATGATTAAATCTATATTGTTTTGAATGTTGATGTTTACTTGAATTATATTCCTAAAAAGTCCTCATATATTCTGTTTTAATTGTAAATGCAGTTTCAACTCAATAACGAGGCCTTTTGTGAACAGCCTGGAATTACTGACATGTTCAAAGACTCTGAGGAAAAGGGAGGACAGGAGTTCAAAGAACAATTAAATAAGCTTGAGGAAGATTTGAAGGTGTGATTATCTGTGTCGTACTTCCTTCCAAGTTCCAACCATACACCTTTTTGCCAATAGGTTAACCAAGAGTGGAGAGCCTTTAGAGCACTCCAAAGCTGGACTTGAAGGAGCTGCCAATCTACACAATTTGCTGGTAGCCCAAAAACTCATATAGCCACCTAACATTAGGCACCTTCCAATTCGATTTAGCTAGTGTGTTAAGAGGAAGCTTATCAAAATCTCCTATCTCCTTCTCACCCACTGCGTCTTTCATCACAATTTCACGGCTCTGAGGCTTTATATCCTTGCTCTCATCATCTAACTCATATCTGGTTTGATTTTGGACATCTGTCTCATCATCACCCAAAAAGAAGAATGTCATGACCCTAGTGGACTTGGAAAGGCAAAGAAAGTAAAAAACTGAGACAGTTGTTAGAAAAATATGAAAGAGCAGAAAAATAAAAGAATTGTTTCAAGGGTGCGATCTCATTTTTTTTAAGGATTTAAAATCTTCTAAGATACATGAGAACTTAAAACTCTCTTAGAATCAGATGTAGAACTCTGACTTTGTATAAAAATTTATAATACATAAAAAGTCACTATTTGTAGGGATATATTCCTCTAGAAAGATATCATTTCATAGATGTACTTTTTCACTGCTTATAGACATGTTTACTTCTTAGACATGTTTTTTTTTTTTTCAAATTTTAATTTAATAAAATAAAATAAGAAAATCCAAAATTAATAAAAAAATTAATGATATTCTAATGGTAAGTGCTCAAGTACCGATCTTTGATTATATATAAAAGGTGAAAACTCAATTTACTTTAAGTTTCATTTTATTTAATTATTTATTGATAAAAAATAAATTTTTATAAACTTTTTTAAATTCTCATGTTTTCTTGACGCGACATTTTAATCATTTACAAACTATTCAACCGTCTGGTCTTTCACGTTGAATGAGTGAAGTCTTTTATACATCGGTAAAATGAAATACACATGATTTCCTTCAATCCCGATCCAATCCAATTGCTGCTTGGCAAGAAAATGAAGATACTACCCCCAAAAAGAACACTCTTTACCTTGTTCCATTCCTTCTTCCAGAAATCCAGTAAAAAAAACTCCACATCAATGACAGCAACCAACAAAATTTGAAGATATTTACCACGGGAAAATTATTGAGAGAACCAAAGAGTTAAAAAATATATAAAATCATTATTTCTTCTACTTAGAGAAAGTGAGAACACACTTACTTTTATAACATTAAGAAGATAAAATTTTACTTTATAAATTAATTTACGACTTAGATTACTTGATTATGTTAAATTTAAGAAAAGAGAGAGAGAGAGATTGAATTTAATTAAATTCTAAAAATTAGGAAAACAAAAAATTGTTGTATTGGATTGCACAAAAAAATTGTTGGATAGGGAATGTGACCTCCAATATTTATGTTTTGTAATCTGTAAAATACTTTTCTTTTATAAAAGTGTCTTTCAATGCAAATTGTGTTTTTCTATACAATTTAAATACTAAAATAATCAAAATACTATTAATAAAAATACCCTTCATATCTATTCATTAATGTATTTTTATAATTTTAATGCCCAAACTATAAAAAAAAGTATGGTGCTTACTAAAAAAACACCCTCAACTGAAATTGACATGATTGCTACCCTTTTAAGTCTT